ATAATCATTCTATTTCCTCCAAGTCCTTTCCATTTCACACACCTAGATATCTATTCTAGAGCTCACTCTCCCTATTTTACAGACAGGGAAAACTAAGGCATAAAAAGAGAACAGATTTGCCCAAGTTTATAAAGCACGGGTTTGGAAACCACCTTGATGGAGAGAGAACACCAGATTGGGAGTCAGGGGAGTGAGGCTAGAACGTTGCTTCTGCCTCTAACCCCATTGGCAGAGCTCTTCACTTGAATGTTTAGTAGGCATCTCAACCTCAACATGTCCCAAACAGAACCCATTATCTTTCTCCTCTCAGACCAGCCCCCTCCTTCCAAATTTCCCTGTTTTTGTCAAAGGCATTATCATCTTTCCAGTCACCAAAGTTCTCAAACTTAGAGACATTCTCAATTTTTCATCTACTGTATCTAATTAGTTGACACATTTTTTCATAATATCTTTTGCACTGTCTCCTCTCTAAACACACAACCACCATCTTCCTTCAGGTTCTTCATCTTGAAATTGTTGTGGGGAAATCACTTCACAGACTTTAAAGTCCCATCGAAATGTGAACTCTTGGTCATAGGATCATCGCATTTTTAAACAAGGAAGGGACACTAGAGGTCATCTACCCAATATTGGCCTTTGAATTTTTCTTCCCAAGTACTTTCACATCTGCCACGGAGGTTTTGTCATCCTCCCAATAACCCGATGAGACCTGTAGTGCAGGGAGGAAATGAGCCATCACAGTATCCACTAACAACTAACAAAAATAGTAATAATAATTACAACACCCACCATTCGTAAAATTCTTTACAGTTTAGAATATCTATTCATGGGCTCGTGGATTTAAGGCTCTATGGGACTTCAAAAATCACTTGATCCAATGCCTTCATTTTATGGATATGGAAACTGAAGCCTAGAGACATCAAATTACTTCTCCAAGGTCACATAGACAGCTCCCACACACTAAGATTTGAGTATCCCAACAGGCTTGTAAGGTAGGTAGGAGGAGAAAGGTTGGGTAATACGCCCAAGGTCATGTTGCCAGTCCATGGAAGAAGCAAAACTAGGATCTTGAATGGGACTTTGTGCTTTTCAAAACAATCAATCCTCATAACAGTCCTGGGAAGTAACATGTTAGCAGGTAACGTTGCCCTTATATGCCGAGTTATGAAACTAAGATGTGAAAGGACTTGACTAAAGTCACATACTGAATTCATTAACGATTTGTAATTATAATCTATACTCTAACCTCCAGTCTAGAACAGGCTATTCCCACCTCATAGATGGAAAAAACTAAAGTGCATAGAGAAGTAATTTGTCCAAGGCCATATGGTCTCTGACAACATCTCAGGTAGGGTCCAGGGCAAGTACGGGGGAGGGACAGACAGAGGTCAAGGTAATCAATTATTATCTTAAAGTAGTTTATCTGTGGAGGATCTAACCTATAGGACCAAGCACTGGAAAGGACTTTCTGGGCCAGTCCCCTTTGTTTTATCTGTGAGAAACTGAGGCTCAGAGAAGGGAAATTCCTTTGGAAGATGGCAAGCCCAGGTACTCTCATTTCAAATTCAGCCCTCTTTCCTTTACGGCATGTGTGACCCCTAGAGGAATGTAAACCCTTTAAGACAGGGAATCTTTTGTTGTATCTCCAGTTCCTAATGCACCTCATAGGCATATAATGATTGTTGAATAGAATTGGACTGAAGGAATCCAGCCTCTTAGGTTGGGTTAGGGATACTAGGTCTTAGGGGGTATTTTATCAGTTGCTCTTGTGGTAGACCTGAGATGGAAGGTCCTTTTACCAGACAAAAATGAGGGTTACATTAGTCTCAGAGCACAATGATGTTTCTCAGATAAAGTTGGGGCCTGATTAGGGTACTGATGATTCCTCACTGCTACTTAATGCCCATGTGACTACAAGTAAATCATTTATCCTCTCTGGGCCTCAGTTTCCTCCTCTGTGGAATGAGGAGTTGGATCTGATGAGTGCTGAGGTATAAAGAATGTAAAAAGAGAAGAGAGTGGAACCCAGGACAAGAGCCTTGGGAATAAGAAGAAGATGAAGATCCAGCAAAGGAGACCAAGGAAGGTTGGTCAGGCAGGCAGGGGAACCAGGGTAGAACAATGTTAGAGAACCAAAGGAGGGAGCTAACATCTAGGAGGGAGCTGGTGATCAACAATGTTAAAAGCTATACAAAGGTCAAAGAAAATGAGGACTGAAGAAAGGCCAAAGGATTTAGCAATTAAATCCTTCTAGGCTTCTTCTCAGACCTCCACCCCCAACCTCTCTCCCCACCGGCCACAGTGATCCTCCTCACCGTTATCTGAATGCTGATGTAGCAGTTTCCATTTCCTTTTTTCTAGCCTTCCTCAATTCATTCACGGCAGCTCTCAGAATCTAAATCACGAGTGAGATGGGGGTGTCCCTGAAAAGTGAGTCAGGAGGGGCTAATTCATGACCTCAACATTTCCAGTCAGGCTAAGGGGGCCTCAGGTTCCACTGTAATGTTTGACTGTGGTTTTCAGCATGGACTTGGACTATGGAGAGGGAAGAGAAATGGAGGGGATATTCCAGGATATAATGTCTTCAGCAAAAATAGAGACAGAATCATTTAGTTGCATTGACTATAATTGGGAAGAAAACCATGATGCTCAAATTGAAATTAAGCTCCTCTCTGTATACATCTAATCACAATCATCTCTCCACCCTACCATTCCATCTTTAATTTCTTCCCATTCATTGGATCCTTCCCTGCTGCCTACAAAAGTGGCTCTGGTTTCTGTTTTCCTTTTATTTTTTTAAATAAATGTATATTTTCATTTGTGTATACTTTTATAATCTATGCCTCCTACCTGAACCTCCAAAAAGCCACACAAAATAAAATCATCATCAACATGCATAGTCTTACCAAACGATTGGCTATTGTTTTGGCCAACAGTCAAAAATATATGTCTTTTTCTCTGTATTTTAAGTGTATCACCTCTCTGAAAGGAGGTGAGTCATGTTTTATCTTCAGGCTTCTGGACTTGGGGTTTATCATTTACATTGACCATAATTCAAAAGTCTTTCAAAGTTGTTTTTCTCTCTAATGTTATTGTCAATGTATAAATTGTTCTAATTCTGCTCACTTTGCTTTGCATCCCTTCAGAGAGGTCTTTCCGGGTGCCTCTGAAACTGTCCACTTTGCCATTTCTTTTTTATTTCTCTATTATTATGTCACAATATAAAAATATTCCATTACATTCATATACCATAATTTATCTAGTCATTCCCCAATAAGAGGATACCTCTCCTCTTGGGAAGAAAAATGTTTCCCATTTTTTGCTACTATGAAAAGAGTTGCAATAAATATTTTTGTAAACTTTGATCCCCTTCCTCTTTGTTTGATATCTTTCAGGCATAAGCCCAATAACAGCATAGATGGCTCAAAGAGTAGGAACATTTTATTAACCTTTTGGTCATAGTTCCAAATTGCTTTTCAGAAGGCTGGACCAATTCACAAATCCACTAATACTGTACTAGTGTATCTGTTTCCTATAGCCCCTCTGACATTTGTAATTTTCTCTTGTGTCATCTTTGCCAGTCTGAAGCATGAGAGGTGGAACCTCAAAGTCACTTAATTTGCATTTCTCTAATCATTAGAAGTTTAGAGAATTTTTTCATATGGTTATTAATAACTGCCTTTGAAAATTGCCTCTTGCCATCATTTGACCATTTATCTTCTAAGGAACAGCTAACTCTTAGTATATAAAATGGAATCCATTTCTTATATATCTGGGATAAGAGAACTTTATCAGAGAAATCTGCTGTGAGGTTGTTGCTTTTTTACCTCCCAGTTACCAGTTTCCCTTCTAACTTTAACTACATTTGATGTGTTTTAGCAAAACATTTTATTTAGTCAACATTTTCCATTTTATCTTGTATTATTTTCTCAATCATTTGTTTAGTCATGAATTCTTTCCCTCTCCACAAATCCTGACAGTAATTTTTTCCTTTCTCATCAATTTTTATACGACCTTTTATGTTTGGGTCATGCATCCATTTGGAGTTATCTTGGTATATAGTATGAGTTGTTGTTCTAAACCCATTTTCTGCCAGATTGTCCTGTTTTTCTAACAGTTTTTTGTCAAAGAGTGAGGTCTCCTCTTTTCTAAATAAGATCTTCAATAGATTTTGTCATTCCCCTAAAGCTATCATCATATGTTTCCTTTATTTCACTGTTAAACACAGAGAAAGAATTATATACCTTGGCTGTTTACATTTCCTCACTAATTAATCACTAAATCCTTTACAGTCTACCATCCAACTCCATCAGTGCACTGAAATTGTTTTGTTTTGTTTTTTATGGGTTGATGATAAGCTTTTTTTATTTGCTAAATCCTTAGGTCCTTCCTCAACCCTCATCCTTTTTCTATAGCTTTCAATATTGGTGACTTCCAGCTCTTCACTTGACTTCTCTAACACTGCTCAATCCTGGTCCTCCTGCCTGTCTGACCACCCTTCCTTGGTCTCCTTTGCTGGCTTTTTATCCTCTTCTTTGACCTTTCTCTTTACATTCTCTCTTTTGCTGAGCTCATCTACTCCTATAAGTTCAGATGACTCTTAAATCTACACATTCACTCTGAACTTCTCCTGATGTCTCTGACCACCTGGATGTCCTGTTGGCACCTCAAACTCACTATGTTCAAATACAAACTGATCACCTTTCTCTTAACTTCCCTTTCTCTGTTATTGATGCCACCTTCTAATTCAAAGACATCTTTAAAACGAAAAAAAAGTTTTATGATTTTTTCACATCAATGTAACTTCCAAATGACTCCCCTCACTCAAAGAACCCTCTCTTGCAACAAAGTTCAACCAAGAAAAACAAATCACACATTGAATGACTCCAAAAAAAAAAA